ATTAATTGATTCATGCATTCATTCATGCATTAATTCATTCATTCAGCTATTCATTGCACTCATCAACTAATTACGTACTCAACAAAATACTTACTTAACCAAGTAAGTAATTCACTCACTCTCTCGTTCGCTCTTTCATGCATTCATTCACTCATTCATCTCATTCAAACCCGTTCCATTCCATTATTCATTCCATTCAATCATTCATATCATTGGTTCATTAACTCGTTTGTTCGATTGTTCGTTCATTCCTTCATACATTCATTCATTCATTTTCGTTTGTCCATGCAGGATTTGTTTCATTATTTAATTCATTCTATTCCATTCCATTCCATTCCATTGCATTCCATTCAATTTCATTCCATTCCATTCCATTCCACTCACTCAGTCATTCGATTATTCAGCTATTGTTATTTCATGACATTTGATGTCATTCCATCGTCATTTAATTTCATTTAATTTAATGCCATGTCATGTAGTTCATTTCATTCATTATTATTATTTCACTTGTCCATGCATTCATGGTTGATTGCTTATACCCTGCCGTGTTGTTCGTACCGACTTGCACTGAACGCCAGGTCCTCCAGTAGACAGGTTAGACTAAGGGTAGTCTATTTTAGTAGGGGAACCCTCCCAACCAAAAAAGGGGTGAGAAAGGGCACCAATCGCTGGGTGACCTAGTCTTCATCCCAGTCACTTGACTTGCTCCCTTCGGATTCCCCCCCCCCCCCCGTTGGTTGAAGCTGAATGCATCCATCAAAAGGGAGAGTGCCACCGCAGGGGAAGCCGCCTGGGAGGGAGGGACGACAAGGAAAGGGCACCTAGCTGGGGCACCTCCCGTCGAATTCCCGTCCTCCTCGGCCCGACACAAGGCCTCCTCCTCCTCCTGCGCTGCATGTCCATCGCGCCACACCGCGGTGACCAGCTCCCCTCGCCACGCGCGACGGCTCGGTCGACGCGCCGGTCGCTCCGCGCGCTCGGTTGTGGTAGGTGGGTCCGACTCGAAAAAGCCGAGCGGTTGCCCCCAAAAAGCTAAAGTCCAAAAGATCCAACCAACTAGAGACGAGCAGTTGAGAGGGTTGATTATTATTAATTCAGAGGGTTGAGAGGGTTGAGAGAGCTTCCCCAAAAGGCGATGAACTGCTGTTTTTATGTTGTGGAGCTTGAATTGCCTTGTTAGGGTTTCTTCCCAAGGAATCCCTAAAGTGAAAGTCCAAAGATCCAACTTCCCCCAAAAGTTGAAGTCCAAAAATCCAACCAACTACAAACGAGCAGTTGAGAGGGTTGATTGTTAATTATTAACTCATTTCCCCTACTCCAAGCCCAACTAGTCATAAAGTACATAATCAACTAGAGTAGGGTTGAGAGGTGCATTCAAACCAAATTTGGTTGTGATGAGAACAAGAACATGTTGTGTTGTGCGTAGTTTTTTGGTTCTTTCTGTTGCCAGACAATAATCCCCTCCCAATAACATGGCACCTGTCAATTGATCTTTTTCGCAAAATCATCTTATCGGTGCCATACTTGTGAAATGGAAGGGCACAAATCCCCAAACAAAAACGGGCAATCTTCTTTTGAGCTTCCCTTTTGAAGCAGCCTAAGAATACCGTCAATACGACACTCACAAAATATGACTGTGTTTGGGGGACCGCTTTGGTGCTACCTGGTGTATCCTGTAACACGACCCTTCGACAAGTAACCCTCAAACATAATTTACGGCTTATGACAAAGATAACAAAGCCTGCTCCAACAAGCGAGTCCTAGGGCCTCCGGATGCTTCACACATCTTTGGCACGTATGTCATGATCAACACCTTGCATGAAACAGGTTCTCCGTGTTAACAGGGTTGTTCATAACAAGGATTCCTTGGGAAGAAACACGAACAAGTCAATTCAAGCCCCACAACATGAAAGATAACGGGGCGAAAGAAGCTCTCCCGAAGGGTCTGGCCATTTTGCGTACAGCGTGGCCTCACAAGCTGAGGCTTAAAAACTGAGGCTACAAGCTGCTGAGTTTCCCCTCAGAAGCTGAGGCTTAAAAACTGAGGCTTAAAAAAACTGACACGGAGCCCCAATAAAGTGGTCCCGTCCGCCCACCAGGAGACTTCTCTAAAAGCACAGGATCCGTTCCAGAGGGACCCAAGGTTTGACATTCGGCAAGCGAATAGCCAGTCCCAGCATTGCTAGGGCCTCCAGATTTGGGAGGTTAGAATAAGGGTAGAAACTGTTTTCTGTAGTCTATTGTAGTAGGGGAACCCTCCTCCAAAAAAAGGGCAAAAGAGCACCTAGCTGGGGGACCTAGTTCCCTACCTATCGCAGCAAGGCAAAACGCACGAGTCGACCCCCCCCGACGACCCCCGACCCCCCGAGTCCGAGTCCGGTGTGATGCATCGCCGGGCCACGGAGATCCGCGGCAGCCACCAAGGTCTGCTCGCTCTTCCGCCGCAGATTGTCGGTGAGCTGCCCTACCGGCAGCCCGGCGGCGGATTGGCCGGCAGCGGATTTTTCGAGCTGAAACAGGGGGTGGTTCAAAGGGGTCAATACTTCTAGGGGTTGATTCCTTTTCCATTCTCAGCCATCGTTCTTTTCAACAACCAGCCATTTCCCCAGTGTTTTTTTTCTGGTTTTCTAGAAAGATTCGGATCCCTGGAAAGAATGGAATTGGAAGTTACCCCTAGAATGGGAAGTTGCCCGGTGTTTGGGTGGTTTGAAAGGGAAACCAAAAGAACAACCATCAGTTTGGAGTAATGTGGACCCCATATGAGTCATAATCAAAACCTGGTATTAAAATGGGGCACCCAAAAACATGTAAAGAACTAAGAAGGAGGATATCCGCAGCTATTTATGTTTGGGATTGTCCCTTACTAACCTTCATCTACCCGGGTTTTGATTGTGGCTCATATGAATTTCAACCAACCTGTTTAAATTAAAAGGGCGAGGGGTGGTTTTGGCCCCTCCAAAAGTGGTTGATTTCCCACTCCCAGGAACACCTCCCTGTGAAAAAACTGGGATTGATTAATATGGGAGCAACATTAGCCTTGATAAGGAGACTCTTGTGTCAGTCGAACCTTCAAAAACCAATGCCCGGAAAGACGTGAACAGGTGCCAAGCGACAGCACGGCAGCACCAAAAGAACATCAATATGCAATCCAGGCAATGCCAGCTCCCCGCTTTAATCTGTTGCGGGGAGCTGGCCGGCCCTAAATTATCAGAGGGTCCACTGAAACTTGGAGCCTCCGGCTAGCTCGGCTCCGGCAAAGCGAACACATGCAAACGATTCCTTGTACCCCTTGGGCTCAGCAACTTTCATTCGAAGCAACCCTGAGACGCTCAAAGCAACAAACACTGAAGCTGTCCTCCCATAGAGCCCCCCCCTACCCTTCTCCCACTACCAGCTTTCTTTGATCAACTACGATGCATCACCCGTTTAGACATGAAAGCAACATGTACAATTGCCAGCGAGTCATAGCCATAGCCTGCTCCTATTTTTTCGTGCGGGAGGGACCATGCGATTGAGGACAATAGTCGATCTGTTTGCTTTCCAAACCGGCCCCGTAATTACGTGTTGCTTTCGTTGATCTCTGTTCGAGTTGTTGCTTGACAGGACTAGCTGGAAAATCCCATGAAAGTCTTCTTTCGTGGGAGTCACAGAAGTCGGATTCTTGGCCATTCCAAGGACAACTTAAACAAAACAAAAACGCAGAGTGTCGAGTATCCCACCTACTCTCCAAAAATTCGCGGCGCCAAAGCCTTGCTACGTCGGCCATGGTATGCTCCCTTTGGACTTGAAGTTCTGGGGATGGGGTTCCAGACCGAAACCTTTGGTTTTGCTCGGTATGGAGTAAGCAGCTGCTTGAAGCGTGGACCCCACGGCGTTTCTTTTGGTTTCCCCTTGAAACCGTATCCGCAAACAAAAACACACACACAAATCAACAGCTGGGTGAATAAATTGAAACCAGCTTCCTACAGAATGATCCCTCACACTGTGCGGCCGATATGATTTGCACAATGACTCACACTAGAGGACCTGAACACGAAGAGCTGAGCATTGCTGAGCTGTCCGAGCCTTAAATTGCCAGAAGGTCCTTGGATTCGCTTAGGGCACTCGAACCTAACGCCCAACGCCCCGAACGGAGCCATTCGGGGCCGGGTCCCCAACCCAGCCTTTCTGCCAGGCTAAAAAGTTCACAGACTGCAGGCGCCGCTTCAAGTCTTTCTCTTCCTCGCGTTTGCTTCGCTTGCCCGAAAATGTTTTTGTCTCATAAGCCGGCCCCAAAAGTGGCTGGTTTCCAGCGAGCAGCAAAACCTAAGACTTTGGGCGATTTCGGATGGGAAGTTATCGTTGGGGTTGACGATATCATTCCGGAAGGTTTCCGACACTTAAATCAGAGCTCAGCCTCTCTCTGTGGTGTTCCGGGGGCCGTCCACGCGGGAACCTGGTCACGTTCTGGTGCGCGGCAAGAGAGACTGTTGGACGCTGCGGCGTGCGATTTCTTTGTGGCGCCTTTGGCTTCGCCTTTTCTTCGGCAAGTCCCAGGTTGTCCACCCCATCGCACTTAATAAGCCCGTCCGCAAGTTTGACCGAGACCGTCGCACAGAGTAAAGCAGCCACCAAGCTGGCGAGACTCCTTGGACCCTACAGGAGAACTGTGCCACATACAAAGCAAAAGACCCAGCACAAACGAGGTACTTGAAGGACCTTACAAGCAGGGGATAAATACTTGATTTGCGTTGCCACCAACAAAAAGGTACGACCCCCATCTTTTCAGATAAAAAGGCCAGTGCCTAAAATAGCCAAGTTGCTGGCATTTTTCAGTCACTGCTGCTGATTTTTGGGGTCAAGTTCATGCAACAAACAAACGCAACTGGCGATCCAGGTGGTTTCTCGGAAAGACTGGACCAACTCAACCCCGAAGAAGCCCATTGACTTCAAAGCCTGAGACGCAGCTCCTTGGCAACGGGGGCCGCGGGCCACTCGGGGCAGTTGGCCAAAAACTCCTTGGCATCCGCCAGCCAGAGATCCTCCTATCGCCGCGCGTGGTCGAGTGGACGCCCCCAAAAGAGTGCAAGCCAAAAAAAACAAAATAAAAAACGGCTGGAAGCGGAGTCTGTACAAAAATTCACCCCACTCGCCATGGTTGTTCGAGTTGGCCTGGTTTGCAGGCATTTCTCGGGCAACCACCGTGCAAACGGCCTGTTGAACTGGCCCAAGCTTTCAGTGGCCCCGGGGTGGTGCAAGTACCACAGGGGATCACTGAGCTGGGTGGGTCTTTAGCCGCCAACAACTTGAGCCTTTCTGCTGAAGTCTGTTTCGGAACCAAACATTTGCAATATGTTGCAATGTTGCAGGTCGAACATGAGTGAGCTGTAAGGAGTCCCCATCTTACAAGAGACTCGCAGGAACCTGCAGCATGGGTGAGGCTAAAACCTGGGATTGGATACGTATACGTATCCCTCGTAAGCGACAGGTTGCCACTTCACATAGATTTGCTGCGACCTGAAGTTGGAAAGTCCCATGGTTTGGCGTTCAACGAGAAGGAACACCGCTGCTGTCCTTCATTTGAGACCTGAGCTAAGATGCTGAAACATGTATGCTGCATACAGATATGGGTGTGGCTCAAAATTAACCAGGAGGGTTACGCAGGTTTTGGTCCATGTTCCCACTTACCAGGGTTCCATTTTGGTACTGGTTTTTTGAGCCACAGCCATATGGGTTTGTATTTTTGGGGTGGCCGGGCAGGAAGGTTTGAGTACGGGGTATGATTCGCAGGTATGATTCGCGGGTATGATTCCGGGTATGATTCGGGGGTATGATTCGCGGAAGCAGCAGCAGCAGTAGTAGTAGCAGTAGTCGCCGAAGTAGTAGTACTAGTAGTAATATTGTAGTAGTAACAATAGTGGTAGTAGTAGTAGTAGTAGTGGTAGTAGTAGTAGTAGTTAGTTAGTGGTAGTAGTAGTAGTAGTAGTAGTAGTAGTAGTAGCAGAAGTAGTAGTAGTAGTAGTAGTAGTAGTAGTAGTTGGTAGTAGTAGTAGTAGTTGGTAGTAGTAGTAGTAGTAGTAGTAGTTGTTGTTGTTGTTGTAGTAATAGTAGCAATAATAAGAATGGTAGTAAATAGTACTAGCAGTAGTCCTAGTAGTAATAGTAGTAGTAGTAGTAGTAGTAGTACTAGTAGTCGTAGTAGTAGTAGTAGTAGTAGCAACAATAGAAGCAGCGACTGTAGTGGCGCGGAAGCTTTGAAAAGACTGGGCGCTGGCCTTGGCAAGGCAAGTTCATTGCGCGGGTGTGATTCTAGCCTAGCTAGGTGCAAAACGGCACTGATTACAGACTCAGAATGATGTATGTGGTAGTAGTGAGTAGTAGCAGCAGCAGCAGAAGCAGGAATAGTAGTAGTAGTAGTAGAAGTAGTAGAAGTAGTAGTAGTAGTAGTAGTAGTAGTAGTAGTAGTAGTAGTAGTCAAGGTTGTGGTCGTAGTACTTAGTAGTAAGGGTAGCAGAAGCAGAAGTAGAAGCAGTAGAGTAGTAGTAGCAGCGGTAGTAGCGGTGGTAGTGGTAGCAATGCTCGTAGTCGCGGTAGTAGCAGTAGTAGTAGCAGTAGTAGTAGTAGTAGTAGTGGTAGTAGCAGTATTAGTAGTAATTGGAGTAGTAGTCGTAGTAGTAGTAGTAGTAGTCAAGGTTGTAGTCGTAGTAGTTAGTAGTAAGGGTAGCAGAAGCAGAAGTAGAAGCAATAGAGTAGTAGTAGCAGCGGTAGTAGCAGTGGTAGTGGTAGTAACACTCGTAGTCGCGGTAGTAGCAGTAGTAGTAGTAGTAGTAGTAGTAGTAGTAGTAGTAGTGATAGTAGCAGTAATTGGAGTAGTAGTAGTAGTAGTAGTCGTAGTAGTAGTAGTAGTAGTAGTAGTAGTGGAAGTGGCAGTGGTAGTGGTAGTATTGGGTAGCGCTGGTGGTTGTTGTGGAGACAGTAAACAACACAAAACGGTAGAAGAACAGTAGCATCTTGCAGCATACGTTTTAAGGGGTATGATTCGGGGGTATGATTCGGGGTATGATTCGGGGGCATGCTTCGGGGAGGTCCCACCTTCTGCCTTTTGAAGCAACTCAACACACCAAAAAAGAACAAACCCATATGCACATTCTGCTTTTGTCGTCCTTGGCCGTCACGCTCACACGTCAACCCAATCAGGTCGAAACGAAGTCATGTAGACAACTAGTCTGTGAAACGGTTTATTGGATTGGGATAATCCTCGTTGTTCGACAGGGTCTGCGTTTCCTGCTCCAATTCACCGAATGACTCCCATCAGGACTTTGGAAAGGATAGTCTGCCTCTCAAAGGAAGGAGGCCAATTTGCCAACGGCTTCCTTTCAAGGCCACCCCCCCAATGACTGTCAAATGGCCTCAAAATAGCCCAAAGGATGTCACACAAGCTTGTAGCCGCTGGGTTTCTGCAACTCCGACGCAGTCCATTGGGTAGCCACCGAGCCCACAGAATTTTGCTAAATCGGAGGA